GGGCCACGTCCAGAGCCGGCCGGCCGGCCAGCCACACACACGCATGCTGAGGGACCTTCCCCGTTACTGCATCCACGCATCTGTTCTCTCTCACATCAAGTGGAGCTAATCACAGCCTCACTCGGGATTGTTGTGGGACTAACGAAGGAACCGGGGTCCAGATCTAGAGGGCTATGATCTGACATCCTCCCCTGAAGAAGGCTCTGACAGGAGACTCTTGCAAAGAAACCAACTGCTGGCTTACAGACACGGACACACAGTGGGCGCTCTCTGCGTTTTCTTTTTTCTTTAGGAGGATGCTTGCCTCAACAAAGCCAGTGTTACTGTAGAGAAGGGCAGTACAGTTGGTATCCCCTCTGCACTGGAACAGAAACAACTCCAGGACCAGCTGTTCCCCAGACGGGAAGGCACGTGGCGAGAGCGGGGCGGGGGTGGGGGGTGCGCCTGAGCTGCGGGGCCAGAGGCTGTCATGCTTTCTGAGTTTGGAGGCACTGTCCGAAACAATGCAGTTTTTATAAGCTTTCATGGGGAGAAGATGCACGGTAGTTTAAAAAGTGGTAACCGACTCCACACAGAGAGCTGGGGCTGCACCGCCTGGATTTCATCGCGCACCTTCAGGTAACAACCAGGCCTGGGTCTGCTCGATCTAAGAGCAGGTTACTCCCGGAGCCCGCCACCAGGAGCTGACTTTCTATGAAACTGTGGCACATACGCTATCTGTCATGGCAGGAGAGCAGAAATAGTTCTGGTGAGTTTCAAAGTGTTTATGAAAAGTCATTTTCACTATAAACGAACTCCACTAACTTTGCCCCAACGTTAAAATAGAATGCATGTCAACTTATTCATGGTTTTTCAGAAGGAGTGTCATTTTTCTTGTTTCACTTTAGCATTCGGGTTGGTATAATTGTTTGATCGTGGCTGAGTCCGTGTTTCTGATGCAACAATCAGTGTTAAGAAGAGCTTTGAAAACGCCCTGGGCAAGCTTCTCCACAGCACAGCTGCATCGGCTTCATAGTGCCCACCCTGGGACGGACACAGTAATTCCTCAAGGGATGCACAGAAACATAGATGGATTTTAAGAAGATCAAGTTCCACTGCCTTAATTTTCACATGGACTCTTACCTAAAAATGATCTTTTCCCACCTCTCGTTTCAAATCACGCCTTTCTCAAGTATCACTAGTATGAAAATCTCTTAAATCCTGTTGTCAATAAGATTTAAAAGTGGTTTCTAAAGCTTTCATAAGGTACTGAAGGTGGACCTAAATAAATTTGAATCTGATAGATCATTAAAAACAATTTTTTATGACAGGATTGTCATGCTCTTTGGCCTCTTGGCTCATGTGGAGTTCAGATTAAGAGCAATTGCTATAATAAAACTCTTCCTGTTCCCCTCGACTCAAGATGAAAGCAACTCTTATGGCTTCCCAAAAAGTAAAGATGATAAGTACAAATAAACTTGATGCTGAAATAGGGGGACACACATTCTCAGGGAGCAATATCCCAAAGATGGAGACAAAATAGCTGGAGGGAATTCTGTGGAGTTAGGAGGAAGTTCTGATATGCAGAGAGAGACAGAGAGAGAGAAAGCAAAGAAAATCCAGGCTTATGTGTAAACTCTCTTCTGAAATAGTGACAACAGGGGGGAAAGGGTGTTTCAGTGGAGAAACCAGGCAGACACCTCCTTCTCAGAGCCTGCCCGCAGCGGGCACCATGAACACACAGCATGCTGAGATGTTCCTACCGAAATGATGACCTCGATAGAGCCATGAGGAAACACCAGGCAAAACCAAAATAGAAACACCCTACAAGATAACCCATCCATACACTTCCAAAGGGCTTCCCTGATAGCTCAGCTGGTAAAGAATCCATCTGCCATGCAGGAGACCCCGGTTCGATTCCTGGGTGGGGAAGATCCGCTGGAAAAGGCATAGGCTACCCACTCCAGTATTCTTGGCTTTTCCTGGTGGCTCAGCTGGTAAAGAATCCGCTTGCAATATGGGAGACCTGGGTTCAACCCCTAGGTTGGGAAGATCCCCTGGAGAAGGGAAAGGCCACCTACTCCAGTATTCTGGCCATGGAGAACTCCATGGACTGTATAGTTCATGGGGTTGCAAAGAGCCAGACATGACTAAGCGACTTTCACTTTCACTATACACTTCAAAATGCCTAGGACACAGAATAAGGAATGATTCTAGGTTGAATACTAAAAAAAAAAAAAAAGTTAATCACTCAGTTGTGTCTGACTCTTTGCGATACCATGGACTGTAGCCTGCCTGGCTCCTCTGTCCATGGAATTCTCCAGGCACAATATTAGAGTGGGTGGCCATTTCTTTCTCCAGAGAATCTGCCCTACCCAGGGCTCGAACCTGGGTCTCCTGCATTGCAAGCAGATTCTTTACCAACTGAGCTCCTGGGGAAGCCCCCAGGAAGGAGAGGAAAGAGGTCTACAGACTTCACTAGCGTGGCCCTAATCCAATGCGCTATGCTCTTATAAGAAGACGAGATTAGAACAGAAGATCACGGAGAAAAGACCACTGGAGACACAGGAAGGCAGGAGGCCACCGGCCTAGAAGAGAGGCCTCTAAAGAAACCGAGCTGCCAGGACTTGGAGCGTTCAATTCCAGCTGTCAGAACCACAGAAGCATAATCTTCTGTAGTTAAGTCACCCAGTCTGTGGTATTTGTCACAAACTGACTCACTGGAAAAGACCCTGATGCTGGGAAAGACTGAAGGCAGGAGGAGGAGGAGACGACAGAGGATGAGATGGTGGGATGGCATCACCGACTCGATGGACATGAGTCTGAGCAAGCTGTGGGAGTTGGTGATGGATGGGGAGGCCTGCATGCTGCAGTCTATGGGGTCACAAAGAGTCGGACACAGCTGAGCGACTGAACTGAACTGAGTTTAGTTGCTGAACTCAGACTGAACTGAGTACCCAGTTGCTCAGTTGTGTCTCACGCTGCAACCCCATGGACTGTAGCCCTCCAGGCTCCTCTGTCCATGAAATTTTTCAGGCAAGAATACTGGAGCAGGTTTCTACTTCCTACTCCAGAGCATCTTCCCCACCCAGCAATCAAACCCTTGTCTCTTGCATCTCCTGCATGGGCAGGGGGGTTCTTTGCTACTGTGCACCTGGGAGGTCCATGACATAACATTACAGGTCAAAATTAATTTTTAATACTCCTCACATATGTTTGTTTTAGACTATTATAATTTAAAAAACATTTTAAAGTATAACATATATTAGAATAAACTTTGGTGGGGTAACAGAAACACATGTTCAAAGAGAGAAAAGAATGATACCAAGTTTTTCAGTGGTAAGGTACCTGATGCTGGGAAAGATTGAGGGCAGGAGAAGGGGACGACAGAGGATAAGATGGTTGGATGGCATCACTGACTCAATGGACATGGGTTTGGGTGAACTCTTGGAGTTGGTGATGGACAGGGAGGCCTGGTGTGCTGCAGTTCATGGGGTCGCAAAGAGTTGGACACGACTGAGCGACTGAACTGAACTGAAAGAGCTTCTCATTCTATTTGTAAGTGGACTGTGCTAAGTTGCTTCAGCTGTGTACACCTCTTTGTGATCCCATGGACTATAGCCTCCAAAGCTCTTCTGTGCATGGGATTCTCCAGGCAAAAACACTGGAGTGGGTTGCCATGCCCTCTTCCAAGGGAAGTGGACTATTAATAGATGTCAAATTATTCTAATACCTAGATTCCATTGAATATATTTAAAAATTATAAAAGTCAATATTTAGAATATAGTGGAAATTATATTCCCTGCAACTTTTAAACTAAACAACTGTGTTCTGTCATTATTTTTACTGATGAGGAGATCCACTGGTATAAGAAGTGTCTGAAGTTAGAAGTATTTGACAGCTGTGCCAGTCTGTCTCCGATGGGCCGGGCAACAGTACAACCCCCGAGAGAGGCCACAGGATGCAGGAAGGACTAACTGCACCGCACAGAGTCACCCCTCATCACCAGACTATTATTTTTGCCATTTTGTTCCGAGTCTTCTCTGCTATTTTCATCACTTACATGGTTGCTTCTATGGATTTCCCAAAAGACACATTTCTCTGAATTACTAAGGTGACAATTCCCATGCATGTTGATTTGGCTTTATAAAAGGTTAATAAAATTTTCTCCAAGTTCAGAATTCCAGGAATGTCACTAAAGGATTACTAGAGTTCGTAGAATACTAAGCATTTAACTCATTTAAAATGTAAAAGAAAGATGGTACATTCAGCTCTTTTAAAGTGAGACTTCATAAAATAAATGGAACCTCATCTTACTGTTCAGTACACAGAGCCGGGCTGTTGTGAAGATTAAATGAATAAACGGCATCAGGCGGCTCACTGATAGGGAATCTGCCTGCAAGTGCAGGAGACGAAAGTTCGAATCCTGGGCAGAGAAGATCCCCTGGAGGAGGGCATGGCAACCCACTCCAGCATTCGTGCCTGGAGAATCCCATGGACAGAGGAGCCTGGCGGGCTGCAGTCCAAGGGGTCGCACAGAGTCAGACATGAGTGAAGAGACTTAGCACACCTGCACACAGCACCTGCCAAACATGTTGAGCAGCTGCCTCCCTTTTCCTCGCAGAGGAAACTTCCCTGCGTGGTGTTAAGACTCGAGCTATTACTCTCTTTTTTTTTGGCACAAGAGTCTCAAGCGCAGTAGGAATGACAACCTCTAAGGGTTTGGATGACCTCCTCTACATCAGTAGATTACATCTATAATCCCATCGGTAGCTATGAGGAAAGGTAAACCTTACACGTTCACCTCATTTTTCTTTTTATCAAATTTACACCTTGAAATAAATGCAAAAATCAGGCTGTTTTCTTTCCTTTTTTCCTTTCAAGGAATTTTAAGGTATTTCCTAAGGTATCATAACCAGGAATCACTCTTTTGGCTTTATAAAGGAAATGAAGGGAAAAAAAAAAACCACTTTCAAAGTTTATAGAATTTAATATCGAGCAGTAAAAGCGCCATGACTTACATTGGCACAGTGTAAGGCTAAAGCACAGAAGACAGCAAACATCTTGAAGTTGTTCTCGTCCGTCTTGGAGAAGGCGCTGCCGCTGAGCTTGTTGACCATCTGCACCACGCCGATGACGCTGCCCCGGCTGACGATCGGCATGCACAGGATGTTCCGGGTCGTGTAGCCCGTGTACAAGTCCACCTCTCTGGGCCCGCGGCGGGGGCAGGATGGCAGCACCAGAGACAACACAGGCAGGAGAGAGGAGAGCGCGCACCGTCACACACCCAGCCCAGTCCCGCTCCTCCCACACTTAACTGCAACGGAACTGTTAGCGTCTAAACCCAAAGACACGCAAGTGGTTTGTAAGAAAACCTTCCTGAAAATATTCTAAGCCAGTTCTGCTCTCAAGAGAGGTTTTCAGAATGGTCTCCAGGAGATGTTCAGCTTCTCATTTGGTTCTAAAGCATCCCACATCACAAAGTACATGCAAGCTGCGGACTTGGAGGAAAAGTCTGATACGTTTGGTAAAAGGACCTGTTTGTTTGTGCTTGGCCAGGTTTATGAGAGCCATAAACTTGCTGAACAAACTTAAATGGGACTTCTCACTGTAACAATTTGGAGCAGGGGTCAGCTGTCTAGACTGTGTACAAACCAGTGCCCTCCAGTTTTGTAAACAATATAAACAGGACACAACCACACCGTTCCCTGATAGATTCCCGCTGCCCTACAGCAGAGCTGTGACACAGATGCTGTGGCCGACAAAGCCAAAAATACTTATTGTCTGGTCCTTCAAAGAAGAGATTTGCTGACTCCTGATTTAGGGGAAATAGTCTCAAAACAGTTTTTGAAAGTAGGAGTCATTCCATAGGAGCAACTGTACAACTAAAGGCGATGAGTCAGACAGTAACCTTCTCCGATCGGTTTCTTTCACTTAGGGCAATGATCTTGAGATTCACCCGTGTTGCATGTACCAGCAGTTCAGCCCTTTCGTTTGCTGAGTATAGTCTATGGTGTGGATACCTGTGTGCACGTTCAGCTGCTCAGCCATATCCGACTCTTTGTGACCTCATGGATTATAACCCTCCGGGCTCCTCTGTCCATGGGATTTCCCAGGCAAGAATACTGGAGTGGATACCCATTCACTTCTCCAGGGAATCTTTCTGACCCAAGGATCAAGCCTTTGTCTCCTGCATTGACAGGCAGACTCTTTACCACTGAGCCACTGCAGAAGCTCATGGTATGGATACATCACATTTTATTTATCTCTTCATCAGTTAATGAACATTATTTGTTAATTGCCAGTTTGGGGCAATTATGAATAATGTGGCCCTCAAGATTTGTCTACAAATCTTGGTGTGGACAGGTGCCATTTTTCCTGGAGTGTTACCCAGGAGTGGAGCTGAACGAGGGCTATAATTGTGTGCTGAACTTTGTAAGACACTGTGCATCTCTTCTCCAAGGTGGTTGTCCAAACATACACTCCCACTGGCAAGGTATGAGCATCCACCTTTCTCCATATTCTTGCCAACGCTTGCTAGCATCAATTTTTAAAATTTTTAGCCATTCAAGCTTGTATGTAACAGGATTTCATAGTCAACTAAATTTACATTTTCCTTAGATCAAATGTATTTCATCTGTTTAATGGCCATTCATTGATCTTATTTTGTGAAGCATCTGCTAAAATCTTGTGTCCTATTTATTACATTGGGTTATCTTGGAAGTTTTCTTTAATATATATATATGCTAGATACAAATATTTTATATATTTTGCAAATTTTTCTCACAATCTGTTGCTTGCCTTTTCATGCTATTTACAAAGCTTTTATATAAGGATATAAAAGCATTTTCAATATTTAAGTACTAAAACGACAAGTTGGCTTTTTTTAAGACAAAAATTGAGATTTTCAGCACACTCAATTTATTGAAAAAATATGTTACCAGGATACAGCTCTGCTTATGTAAAAGTTATGCATATATGACATTAATCAAACACTTGAAAAACTTCCCATTGCTTATGCTATTTAACTATCCCCTAAAGGAAACTCGATTTTGAATGCACAGAACACTGCTGTCAAAATACGTGAACAACATACCTTCAACAGTCAGGGCACCAGCCTTGAGACTTTCAATTTTGAAAGTTTTTTTAATAAAATTACATAAATTGGTTTCTAGTTCTCCAAAGTAACTCAAAACAAACAAAAATTTATTAGCAACCCTAATATCCAATCAAGTCTGCAACTTACTGCGTTCCTACTTTGTGTCATGTGAAGTTGCCAGGTCTTCTCTGAATATTTTCTCTAATTGTAAAATTAAAAAAAAAACTACAAGCAGGTATTATGTGCCCATTTTAAAGATGAGAAAACAACTGAGGCTGCGATAGATTACGTCCCTCACTTCAGGTCATTCTAAAGGTATCAAAGGACAGAACAAGGATTCCAAATAGGTACTTTTACCACTATGTGTTACAGCCTTTGAAGAGACGGTTTGCTAAAGAATATGCTTAGGACAAAATGATCACATTATAATGAAAAACAAATTTATAAATTTAAACTCTTGCTTTTTAGTTTTCCTTAAAACATTTTAAACTCCTGTAGCTGGAGACAGGGGCTTCCCAGGTGGCGCTAGTGATAAAGAATCCATCTGCCAATGCAGGAGATGCCAGTTTGATCCCTGCAATCGGGAAGTTCCCCTGGAGGAGTGCATGGCAGCCCACTCCAGTATTCTTGTCTGGAGAATACTATGGTGAGAGGAGCCTGGCGGGCTAAAGTCCATGGGGTCACAAAGTTGGACACGAGTGAAGTGACTTTGCACTCAACATATGCACAGCTGGAGACAATCAATGGTTTAGAATCCATCATTTCTTATAAAGATCTGAAAACACTGACTACTGATAATCAGTTGGTTCAAAGAAAGTATAACAGCACCAAAGAGGAATAAGCTGACCGAGCTGGGACGTGGAGAGCTGGGGCCCTACCGCAGAGGCTTCAGCTGAGCTGGACAGGAAAGGAGGCCGTGCTGGAGGACAGGAGCCCGTCTCACCTGTTAAAGCGCGGGTCTGCATAGGCATCTGGAATGTTCAGAACTTCCCCGGTTCTTGCTACTTGGCCAGCAATTCCCTTCTCGATTGAAAACCTGCACATACAGAAGACAGGAGCATGCAGATGTTGTAGAATAACTTGAGACACTTCACTGCCACCAAATACTGAATAAAAAAGACTGCTATTTTAAATGGTTGTATTATTATAAAATGTATAAAGGTAAAGCAGAAAAACACTGCATGGTAATCACTTGAAGACTTTATAAGACATAATTCATAATGTATTAAATTATGCTGAATCACAAACTGAAATTGAAAAATTAACTAGCCTTCTCCTGCACTAACCAATAATAATCCTTTAGAATTTCAAAATACCTTATAATTTACAAGATGCTTCAACATGAGTTTTTTAAAATAATTCTTCCTGTGAGCTGAGACCCATATGGGTTCAGTAACTTGCCAATATACTTAAAATATGAGTGGCACAACAAAAACAGGAATGCAGGTCAATATCAGTACACTTTCCACCACACATATAACCAAACACACAGGTTATATGATCATGAGATAGAGGACCTCAATTTTAAGGCCTCTGCAATGTAACTACTATACCAAAATAACACACTTGACAACTTCTGGTATCTTCACTTCTCTAATTCGTTAAATTTAAAAACAGCCAAAATACAGGCATTATCTGATTACACTTGGATATATTTTGATATCTAATATCAGTACTTTCTTTTATACATAAATATATTCTCATGTTTATAAATAGTTTTCTCATTACAATATTATAATAATACATGTTCTCATTCAAAACATAGTTAAGATATCTGTAATCACAATCGCTTCAGATTTCAGTAGCTGAAAATGAGCTTTCACAATATTATATTTTCAACATTATAGAAAATTATAATTCTTGACATAAAGTTCCACCCTATGGATTTCCTTAAGGAAAATTCAAAAAAGAATTGACACCAAAGAGAATTAACTTTTCTTAAAACACCAACAAGTGAACCCAGCATCGTACTACGTAAAACGCAAGGTTGTTTTTGCCCCCTGCTTTCTTTTGCGTTGAGCAACATGAACACGACAAATCAGATGGCCTTGAGCAGAGGACCAGAAACGGTTTCATGGCTTATCTTGATTTCCTCGGTCTGGGGGTAGCCCAGTGTGACCTGCTATCTCCCACCAGTGGAAACGTAACCGAGGGGCGTGCCCTGTCATAAATGGCTGGCCCTGACTGGTCAGCAGGAGAAGTGACTTCACCTAAATGACTATATCCAGACGAATCTACTGAGCTCTGAGCAAACAAATGAAAAAAAAAATTTTTTTTTTAAACAGAAACCTAAATACTGCCTGCTTCCCTGGTGGTTCAGAGGTTAAAGCAGCTGCCTGCGATGCGGGAGACCTGGGTTCGATCCCTGGGCCAGGAAGATCCCCTGGAGAAGGAAATGGCAACCCACTCCAGTATTCTTGCCTGGAGAATCCCGTGGACGGAGGGGCCTGGTGGGCTACAGTCCACAGGGTCGCAAAGAGCTGGATACGACTGAGCGACTTAACTTCAAAAATAGTGCCTGCAGGCAGAGTTCTGCAGAGTCAGTGGTCTGCAGTCAGTGAGGATGGCGTACTATCATCCCGGGACCACAGGAGGGGAGGCACCCCTGTCGGGCGGCAGTGTGGGCACATTCCAGGCTTCCTGAGTGCAGACAGACGGCCCAGGTGAAGAGCGAGCCCTATTAACAAGGGACAGCATCTCACTAGAACGTTGCGACTACCACGGTACTTTAGAGTACCTTGAGGAAAAGTAGTTAAACAACATATATATATAAAACAGAAGAAATGCGAATGTGTAAGAAAGACAGCGTCTGAGTGCTCTGCTTGATGCGTGCTGGTTCTGTGACGGTGCCGCTATAGGTGCTCCGATGGTGGCAGGACTGAGCCACCAGCCAAATGCCGTCCTGCTCACGTAAGTGACAACAGCGGCCACTGACAGATCCAAGAACTCTTTAGCTTCGAGCTGCAGCACAAGAGTGCTCTGTGATCGGTTAAGCCAGCTGTTGGGTTGCAGGGTAATGTGTTGAAGTTAGGAAATACCCCGGGTCGCTTTTCACTGCGTCCAGACTTGCAGGCAGCTCTACAGGTTGTGAAGGGGGAGGGGACAAAATTGTCTGCGTACACCTGCTCCTAGATGCAGGAGGCCCTGCAGACTCCAGGTGGGGCGCACCTTTACCTACCTGGGAGCACTAGTAACTTTTTCCAACATGATTTCCAAAAGGACCGCCTCCGGAAGACGGCATTTCCAGGAGTGACGCTAAAGCTTCCTAGGCGCGGTTTCGCTGGCACTGCAATGTCATTCCCAGAAGCACTACCTTCAGGAGGCGGGTCCTGGTGGGAATGATATCACAGTATGACAAGTGCGGTCAGCACACCTGCGAATAGGCACAGACAAGTGGGTGACAGAGCAGCTGCCCGGCTGCCGTCAGCAACGCCGCGCTCCTGCGCGCTGTACCTGATCTCCTTGGTCTTCTTGAAGACGGGCTTCCCTTCCTTTTCCTCTCCAATATCAAAAAGATCTGAATATAACTCCTGGTTCTTATGGTCTACCTGGAAAAGGGCACAACGGTCGGCATTCACCAGGTTTTTTGCATATATCTACAGACAAACGAGAAAACGAGAGTCAGCCGGTGAGAGGCGCAAAGAGGCTGCAGGTAAACGTTATCAGAAATAAACATGCATCGCGGCTGTTTGAGACTAGAACAGGGTGGGAAATGAGCATCATGATTAGATAAATACAGGCACACAAGGACAAAACTAATTCTGCGCCCCTGGCCATGTGCGGCCACCAGCAGCTGCTCTGCATCCCCACTGCGGTGCCGGGGCGGGAGCAGCACAGCACCCCTGGGGGCTCACTCCCCGAGAACCTGGCATCTCGGCTCCTCTTCCGGAACCCCCAGGCCTCCCTGGCGCCCTGGTCCCAGTCTCAGTCAGCTCCAAGGCCAGCTCCAAGGCCAGCATCTATTCCGATGGTGGGTGTTTATGAAACACCAGTTGTAAAAAATATGAAATATAACCTCTAATGAGACTCCAAGTGTTCCTATTTACATGAGCTGCACTTTATTTATTACACTAACAATAATGTGCAACAATTAGTAAGTGTTTACTGTGTGCCGGTTTTTCGGTACTTATGTGCACTGATTCACTTAACCCTCACAAGAACATTTTGCACGTTAGAAGACCTGAGGCACAGAGAGGTAACTTGTCTACTATCACACGGCTAGTAGATGGTGGATCTGGTATTTGAACTCACACGAGCTGCTTCCATGGCCTAAGTTATTGTAATAAGTACACTTTACTCTTTCTGAATGGAAAACTGTGTATTAATATAGCCATTCATTTGTTCATCAATTCCCTTCAACACGTATTTCTCTAATGCCTAACATTTTTCACTGTCCCCAGTGGGCTGGGATTTATAGCTATTTCACAAAAGTTGTATTTATATATATTCAGAATTCTGGCAACCTCAACCCTTTAGATGACAGACATGAAATGCCTGCTCAAAGAACCATCACAAAGTCTATGCGAAAGTTTCCTAGGCCACCTTGTGGCCAGAGGGAAAATATATGATCTCATGTTTAAATACCACAGAGATTTCATAGAAAGAAATCAGAGCGGTTTAGGGACCTGTTCTTCCTCATCTTTTGCCTCTGCCTTCCCTGCCGTTAGAAGCTGTACTCACTCACCCAACGAACACTGGATGCGCCTTATGCACTGTGAACCAAGTACCCTGGGCATCGTGAGTGTCAACTCCCAGGTGACCTGTCTCCTCCACTGGCTGACTCATGAGTTCCAGGGCAGTAGAAACTGCTTCCTTTCCTCCACAGTATCCCAAATGCCCAGAACCAGGCTTAGAGAAAGGTCAGCTAACGTCCACAGGCCATGTAAACCCACCCCGCTGGCCTGTGCTTGTAAACAAAGTTTCACTGGGACGGAACCACGCTTTCTGAGTGGTTCTGCTACAACACCAGCCTTGAATAACTGTAGGAGACTATGGCCCACGAACATTAAACTTTACTATTGGCCCTTCATAGTAAGTTTGCCAGCCCTCAGGTTAGAACACACCAGGTATCTCTAACACCTAACAACTCTCAATAAGCACTTGAGGAGGAGGAACAACATATAGGAAGGAAGGAAGTGGTGGGATTGCACTGTTAGCAAACTCAGGCGATCTTGAACTATTAAATAATAATAATGACCCTCAACAGTTAAATCGTATACAGTAAAATCTGCCTCCTCAGTGGTCATGTCAGTTGCCTAATACTCTGGCACATATTTATGTCAATAGTTGTAAAAATCTGGATGAAATGGACAATTTTCTAGAAAAAGAAAATGAATTTGGGAGAGAAATATCTGAATGAAATCAGAATAAACAGACAACTGAAATATGGTAAAAAAAAAAAAATTTATCCCCATAAAAGGCATCAGGCCCAAATAATTTCAAATACAAATTATTTAAGAATCTTCAAAAATAAAGTCTCATCTAATTTAAACTAGTGTAAGTTCAGACAGATGCCTGGATCAGGAAGATCTTCTGGAGAAGGAAATGGCAACCCACTCCAATATTCTTGCCTGGGAAATCCCATGGACAGAGGAGCCTGGCGAACTACAGTCCATGGGTTTGCAAAGAGTCAGACATGACTAACCAGCTAACACACACACACAAGTTCAGACAGAACAAAATTTCTCCAGTTCCCTTTACAACCCCTGCTATGTCACTGATACTGAAAACTGACAAAGATACTATAAAAAAAGAAAATCATAGACCAAGTTAACCTTGAAAAGAGAAGAAAAATTATAATAAAAATATCAACAAGTCAAACTTGAGAATAATATTTTTAAATTTTCAATATTTTAAAATTACACGCTACTCACAACTTCCAGTATTGGAAAGTCTATTATTATAGCTCATAAAGCAATAAAAAAGAAGGGGAAAATCACATGACTTTCATCATGGCTGTTAAAAAATATATGTAACAAAATTTTTATGATAAAACTTTTGCAAAATAGAAAGTATGTATGTATGCATATATATATATATATATATATATATATATATCAGTATACACAGACATCCTAATAATATGTGAAAATTATAGTCTACATCATACAAAATGACAAAATATCAGAATCATCCTATTAAAGTTAAGAACAAGACAAAGATATGTTATCACAATTATTAATACACAGTTAGGTAAAAGACTGAAAAAGGAAATGGCACCCCACTCCAGTATGATTGCCTGGAGAATTCCATGGACAGAAGAGCCTGGCAGACTACAGTCCATGGGGGTCTCAAGAGTCGGACACAACTTAGCAACTAAACCACTAGCAGTTCTAAAAGACAATAGTTCTAATGTTAGGTGATATGTTATTGAATATGTTGAAAAATCAAGAAAATCAACTGAAAACAATTATAAGTAGTAGGAAAAACTTCTGCTTTAAGATAAGTAACTCTAAATATACATTTATTTTTTTAATTCTCCCTGAATATTAAGCTTTCAGTTTGAAATGATACTCAGAGGCTGGAAAAGACTTAGTAAAGAAATCCTAGGCATATTTAACTTATATGCAGAGTACATCATGAGAAATGCTGGGCTGGAAGACGCACAAGCTGGAATCAAGATAGCTGGGAGAAATATCAATAACCTCAGATATGCAGATGACACCACCCTTATGGCAGAAAGTGAAGAGGAACTAAAAACCCTCTTGATGAACGTGAAAGAGGAGAGTGAAAAAGTTGGCTTAAAGCTCAACATTCAGAAAACTAAGATCATGGCATCTGGTCCCATCACTTCATGGGAAATAGATGGGGAAACAGTGGAAACAGTGTTAGACCTTATTTTTTTGGGCTCCAAAATCACTGCAGATGGTGATTGCAGCCACGAAATTAAACGACGCTTACTCCTTGGAAGGAAAGTTATGACCAACCTAGATAGCATATTAAAAAGCAGAGACATTACTTTGCCAACAAAGGTCCGTCTGGTCAAGGCTGTGGTTTTTCCAGTGTTCATGTAGGGATGTGAGCTGGACTGTGAAGAAAGCTGAGCACCGAAAAATTGATGCTTTTGAACTGTGGTGTTGGAGAAGACTCTTGAGAGTCCCTTGGACTGCAAGGAGATCCAACCAGTCCATCCTAAAGGAAATCAGTCCTGGGTGTTCATTGGAAGGACTGATATTCAAGCTGAAACTCCAAAACTTTGGCCACCTCATGTGAAGAGTTGACTCATTGGAAAAGATCCTGATGCTGGGAGGGATTGGGGGCAGGAGGAGAAGGGACAACAGAGGATGAGATGGTTAGATGGCGTCACTTACTCAATGGACATGGGTTTGGGTGGACTCCGGGAGTTGGTGATGGACAGGTTCATGCTGTGGTTCATGGGGTTGCAAAGAGTCAGATACCACTGAGTGACTGAACTGAACTGAGGCATATTTTGGTAACAGTTATGAACTCCAAGCCTCAGAAAGTGAAAAGTGAAAGTCGCTCAGTTGTATCCAACTCTTTGAGACCCCAAGGACTCTGCAGTCCATGGAATTCTCCAGCCCAGAATACTGGAGTGGGCAGCCTTTCCCTTCTCCAGGGGATCTTCCCAACCCAGGGATCAAACCCAGGTCTCCTGCATTGCAGGCAGATTCTTTACCAACTGAGCCACAAGGTCATTATAAAAGCCAACCTGTCTCCTACACACCTCTCTCTCCTACATATAAACACAGGTTTACTTATAAGCAGAAATAATTCTTGACAGCAATAGAGGATTTCAAATTCAGTGGAAATGTTTCTTAAATTTCTGAGGAAAACATTTTAAACTTAAAATTCTTTACCTGATCAAACTAACATTCAGACATGAGGCAAAATAAAAGATATTGCAAAAGTACAAAGTACTCAGAAAATCACTACTCTTGAACTATTTTGGAAAAGAAGATGAGCTCAAGAAAAAATAAATAGATAAATTCAAGAAAGAATAGGACGACCTGGAGTGTAAGCAAAATTGATGAGCAAATAAACTACTAAAGCTATAATTAAACTGTAAATTTCATTAGTAAATGATATCTATGAAATTACAGCTGTCATACATAAAAGTTAATTAAAAAGACTGAAAATATCCGGTTGTGTCCAAAAAAAAGTATATAAGATTAGAAGGCCAAAGAGGAAGGAGTAGAAGTTTGCTGTTTTTATCGTTAGTGAAGTCTCCAGAGGACAAGGACCATACAGCGGTGAGCTGCGCAGACACAGAACGATTATTCCTGAAGATGTAATTTGAACCCCCAGGTCCAGCAATCATAGGATTCCGAATCTTCAAGTCTTTCCAGTGTGATACAAGCTAAGAAATTCCCCCTTGATTCTCTCAGGCTAATGGGAGTTAGGCAGTGATATCTTTTGCCTTACACCTAAGAGTCCAGACTGACAAATAAGCTCAAGGCAAGTCTGATATGAGAGAGCGGGGAGTGGGAGAAAATATCCATTAACTGAATTACACATGAGAAAGGGAATTTAAGTACAGGCAAAAAAAGACAGCCATTAAGCAATCTTACTTATGTATATAGATGAAAAAGTCAGAAAAATAATAGCAACCAATTCAGGAGTAAAGACTACAACTACA